GGTAGAGCCGGGATCGGAATCGTTAACCAAAATTAACCATTTGAAATACAGAAATAGGAGCGGAAGCGGAAGCGATATCGGAAATTCGATTTGGTTGTGGCTTGCCGAGGCTTAAGCATCCATTTTTACCACATACAATTGGTGTTGGTAGCACTGTGCACGAGATGCACTTTACACCTGCGCCAATAAAATGGGCAAGGGGAAAAGTTGCCACAGCCACAGCAACATGCACAACTGTGGCAAAAGAAAAGCACACATACTACAAAGTCAGTGTATCTCAACATACATACATATATGTATGTGTATGTCTTTAGGCATGTGTTTCTATGTATAAGTGTGCCCATTAAACCTTTATGGTGTTAACAATGAACACTGAACTTATGGCCGCAACGACTCTGTCTGTGTAAGAAAACACGCACATTTGCAATTACATATGCATATACAGATACATATACATCTGTGTGAATCTGTTGCGATGGCTGAATGCAAACTTTGGGAATATTTACGTTTTGCTTATAGTTCCATCTCGCTATGCATTTAAGGAGTATTTTCAAGCATGGCATTATGTGGCGCCAACTATGGTAAATTCAACGGCAACGGCAACGGCAACGGCAGCTGTGTGGCAAGAGCCCGACCGCAGCGACGAAACCATTTTTGCCACGTATCCCCGCATGACTTGGATGCCATTTAATTTGCATTCTCTAACCAAGCCAGAATTTCTGCTATAATTGCTACACATGTTGCACATACACACACAAACAAACACATACACACAAAGAGGCACATATGTGTCCAATATATACAACTCCTTGTTATCCACTCATTTACAGTAATTATTATTATTTTTTGGATTTCGATCAAGACTCAAATTATTGCTCTCAAAACTTTAAGTAAGCCAGAAGACAGAAAACTATTTCAGAAGAGGAAAGTGCAAGTGGCGAGTTTTAAAGCAAGAACACTCGGGAAAAAGTCGAAATGGGCACCAAGAGCAACTTACCTTATTATTCAGAAAGTATATTTTCAAAACGGAAGATTGTGTCTTTATAAAAACAATTTTTCCAAAATTTAAAAAAATTTGTCTTATTTAAAGTGTTTACTTTTTTTTAGAAAGGCTTCAAGCCTTTCTAATTTGAAAAATTTGTTGTTTTGTGTATTTAAAAATGATTCATTTTAGGGGGATTTTCCAAAATTCAAATCGATATATACATATATATATATATATATATATATGTATATATATGTATATATTATATATTTATAGTAATTTATAGGCCACTTCCAAAATATCATCAACGAGAAGAAAACATTTAAAACCCAGTAAGAATGCTCATTTCGAGAGATGTCGACTCTTGGATACCCTAAACTAAAGTCTTAAATAAATAATAATAATTTATGTATGTGTTTACATGTTAGTATGTATTTACAAAAAAGGATTGTACTTGCTCCTGTGCAATTTGGTAAATATGTTTATAAGATCTTCTGCCCTGTTTCTTTTTCGATAATCAATATTTTGTCGAGGTATATGTCTGGCCAATGAGAAAGACTTGCTTTTTTGCTATTGCTAATAGATATTTATTGAAATTGGAGAAACCGATGAAGCTATCCATTAAATAAAATGCATTAGACCTGCGTATGATACTACTCCAACTTTGAACTCTTATCTAAATCAACTCGACTTTTGATGCTGTTCACTTTATGGTTTCCAGATGTTTCCTTCTGTCTGTTACATACTTTTGAACTTGTACTCTTTTAAGGTACTTTCAATTCGTTCAAGGTATAAAATGGATGTCCGTTTCTGATATGTCTGCAGTAGCATTTGGTATAGCTTGAAAACATTAACCTAAAATTGCCCGATCAATGGCTGTGTATACCACAGCTGCGCCTTGAGCACAGGGTATGCAAGACAAAAGCTCAGCATTCGCTAATTTAATTATGTGGCCAAATTGCAGCGTCAGTTATTGTTTTGTTGTTGTTGCTTTGACTGCATAAATCATTTGATGAGATTAGAGGGCCGACAGGGGCAGGAGAGCGGCATGAAAATCGCGATTCCAAGCCATTGACTCAAATTTGTCGACTGCCTTCAGCTCGCGCAAAGCCCTTAACCCCAACACCCAGCCACCCAACCACCCAACCGCACCCAAAGTCTCAATGCCCCCAACTTCACAGCTACATAAATGACTAAGCTGAGCTGCGTTGTGGACATTAAATGATAGACAGTGCGCGAAGACAGGAAAGGGATGCGAACAATGGCAGTGGCAATGGCATGGAGGCGGGCGTCTAGACTGCCTGCCAAGCTAATAAACTTCCAAATTTCCGACAGCAGCTTAAGCGGCATTAATGACGCGTTGGCGTCCAAATGATTTATTAACAGTCAGCAGATTCCCTTGATGAAGCCGTATTATGCCCTACATGAGCAATCTTGTCAAACGACATTAAGATTGCATCCAAGATTGGGCATATCCAAGGCCAAAAAACCGTAACTGGTATATGCCTTATTATGTCAGCAACCTGGGCTGTGTACTACCCAGCTTTGATGAGACTGTACCAAAGTATTATCACAGCTATGTAATTGCACAAAATTCTTTGCTCGAATATGTTGGTAATTGTTCGTATGTCAAATAGATGATATATAGTTCGATATAGTTCGAAAATGGTCGCTTGCGACTGCAGGAAATTTAAGGATACCTTCAAAATTGTATCAAGTCTTTAAATTGAGTAACTAGTTAGCATAGAAGCAAAAAGACGGACAGATAAACGAAATTGGCCATATCGACTCGGCTAGTGATGCTGATCAAGAATATATACAATATATATACATACTTTATGGGGTCAGAGGCGTCTCATTTATACCAAAATGAAAATACTTTCTTTAAGGGTATACGCAAAAATGCCTAGCAAAAGCAATTGTGATAAATTTGGGATTTTGATTTGATTGCATATCAAAAAACTTCAATCTACACACCCCAAAATATTAAGAAGTAGGTAAAGAAAAAGTTTTTGAAAGTGTGTCAAAACCATTCATTTGCCATTTACTTTGATTGCAAGTATTTACCTATTAGATTTGAGCTGTGATATAAATATAGACTTTAGAGATGTATTAAGTTGTGTAAAGCCACATTTCCCCCCTAATACCACCAGTCGCAACCTACGGCAATTCCTTTCAGGCACAACTGACACAGCTGCCCAAATGCTAAAGGCAAATTTCAAAACTGTTCAAAGTAAGTTGCATTTTGAATTTGGAGATTTGAGAGTGGTGTTGTAGCTGCTGTTGGTGCTGCAAAGTTTTTGGCCAAATGCAGCGCAAAATCGCTTAAGTAAACTTCCAAGTTGCCAGTCTGCTGGCAGATGGCAACCAACATCCAGCAACCAACAGGCAGCAACTTGGCGACTTGTTTTCGTCCCCCATCAGTTGACCGGTATAAAAAGTCTCTATCCCACTGCCGAATGCTGTCCCCATTCCATTCGTAATTAAGTTGCACAAAAGTTGGCAACATGATTTGCAAGTTGCAGCACGCAGTATATTCGACCATTGCATTTCCCTCAGCATTTCCTGGCGCAACAAAACTCATTTTCCCAGCCCATACACACGCCAATCAAAGTGTGAGTCATTTGCATTGTGGACATCATTTGGGAAATGCGTACGGCATCTATACTAGTGCCGCTTAAAATAATTAATCCTAATTGACTCAATGGCCATGTTACCAGTGGTAATCGTTAGTTGCAATCCCAACGTGATTATCCCCTTTATCCCTAGGCTCAGACATTGCCATTTCATTTAATTACGTAATATGACGATTCATTGGCTTAACATCGCTTTCTACTCGGCAATTCATCAACATATTGGTCATTTCAATTTGCCATGTCCATCATGACGTTCTCATCATTTTTAATATAAATTATTTATTATATTTAAACATTATTGGGAGATACACTGACCCTAAGTCTTTAAAAAGAAAGATATCAGAAAAATAATCTCGATCTGCTTATGTTAAGTGAGAGCCAAGATTCAAAATTTAATGTCTCTATATCTTATACCGCTATTGACGCTAATGATAAGCCTAAAGGGGTTGGAGATGTTTTCTTCGGCAAGTTATATACACTTAAAAGCCAGAGACTTCTTATTGACATATAATATGTATATGTGTCACGTAGTTGAGCTCACTCGACTTCAGAAATTTTACTTCTCATTTTTCTACATTTTTGAAAACTTTACCTTTGACTTAGGATGTAAAACTCAGGCTTTGGGAAGGCACAACTTACCGTTTTAGAAATATATCTATACCCAAGCTACCATTTTAGAAATATACTTTCCGAATAATATCGAGATTATCTAAATTAAATTTTGTTCTAAGTGCACTTTTGCACAACTTCATGATACATGTGCTTGTGTATTGAGTATCGATTATCTTAATTACCTTCCGCAATGCGTTGCATACATAACAAATTCGTAATATCAACTGCAACAGCATCAGTCGAATGTGTCATGTGTCAGATAAACGAGCAAACTGACAAATTGACAAACTTTCAGTTCCGACCACAGAGCGGGAAAGGTAAATCTACAGAGACAGAAAGAGAGAGATAGATAGATAGATAGAGAGATAGAGAGAGAGAGAGAGAGAGAGAGAGAGAGAGAGAGAGAGAGAGAGTGATACCGGTGCCAGTGAGTGGGTGAGCGAGTGTGGCACACACTTACCAATTAGGCACTGTCAAATTGTTAGTCGACTGAAAAGTGGAGCAGTGTCCTCTGTGGGGCCAAGGCTATTTTTCAATTGCAGTCCCAACTCAATCTTTTTCCCTTTTGCTATTTGGCCTTCTCTGAACACTCTTTGTCATTTTTGTTTATTGGCCCGTGCTGCCAGCAGCCAATTAGTTATGGCAGGCGTGGCATCCTTTGACTCTGTGCTACAAAAGTTAATTTTCCAATCACATCACCTTTGCCATACAACGCAAAAGCAAAGCCATTCACTACAAATTTAAATTTTTGTCTATTACCTTTTTTTTATTACATATATATTCTTTCATTTTTGTTGAATTACAAAAATGCTCGACGAAACAGCAACGTCGAGCGTGGAGAACAGCGGACTGCGAGGAACCTTCAATTTTGTGAATGCCAAACGGTAAGAGCTTGAGCTTCTGTATACCATGTGGGATGGATGCCATATGATTTGGCATGAGGCTTATTTCTGAGATAAGAGAGACTTCGCTTGTATAACATTGTTTATCACATATATGCAAATAGCAATGCTGAGCTGCTGGCGAATGGCTTTAGGGCACCATTGGCTGTGCGTACTGGCACCTCCATTGTGGGTATTATATTCGATGATGGCGTTATACTGGGCGCCGATACACGTGCCACCGAGGGACCGATTGTCTCCGACAAGAACTGCTCGAAGATACATCGCCTGCAGGAGCACATCTTGTAGGTACACTCGCCCAGTAATTTCGAATACAAGCCTTAAGTCAGTTAATAATTTAAGCCACAACCGACAGCTGCTGTGGCGCCGGCACTGCCGCTGATACCGAGCAAATGACACTGGTGACCTCCGCGGAACTGGATCTGCAGGAGCTGAATACAAATCGCCAGGTGCCGGTGATCTGTGCCAGCATGCTGCTGCGCCGTACGCTCTTCCGCTACCAGGGACACATTAGCGCCGCCTTGGTGATGGGTGGCGTGGACAAATATGGGCCGCACATCAATTGCATCCATCCGTGCGGCTCGATTGATAAGATACCGTATGCGGCCATGGGCTCGGGCACACTGGCCGCCATGTCTGTGCTGGAGCACGGCTGGCAGCCGACACTCGATCTAGAGCAGGGTAAGCAGCTGGTGCGCGAGGCCATCACAGCTGGCGTCCTCAATGATCTTGGCTCCGGCTCCAACATTGATCTGTGCGTGATTACGCGCAACGGGGCCGATCATCTGCGCACCGAGACCGTTGCCAGTGAACGGGGCGAGCGGCTGGCCAAATATGCCATCCTGCCCAATACAACCCTGGTGAAGAGCATTTCCGTGCAGGACATTCACATCGTCGAGGAGCGCATATATCGCCCTTCCATCTCCTCGTTCCATACTACATCCCAGCAGTCTCGCTTGGACTCGTCAATGGACTCAGATGAACATTCGCCGGATACTTAATAATTTCGATCTATAGACAGTATTAGATATCTCTCATTCCATTTAACAATTCAAAAGTTGGCACATATTCTTAATTATTTCAAAGTTGTTTCAGATTTTTCCAAATTATAGCTGTGCTCTTCCTAAACTATATCCTAGATTTGACACAGAGAATTTAGTCTTAGTTATACTCTGTATTTAATTAAGGCAGCCAGTAAATTATCAATACATGCTCGAGCGAGTCTAAACTCATTTTTCAATCTGGTTTGGTTTGAATATCTAGGACGTGTATGCCTTATGAGAGGTAAGGACTTCTGCTCAGTGGGCAATGAATTTGCAAAAAATGTGTGCAACTGTTAGTTCCGTTTTTTTATGGCTTCCTTCCAATTAAATTATGTTCGCACACCAGTCTGGCCATTTATGCTAAGCTTTGAGACTAAGTTTTGACCAATGGATGCTGGACAGGACAGGATAAAAAAAAAGCTGGGGGCATTTGACAAATTTAATTACGTTCATGTCTGCTGCATATCCTTGTCACCTTTACTGCTTGCACCCACTGCAGTCGAGCCGATGCAAAACTTTCAACTGATCCCTCTGAAATTACACAAAAAACTGTTTCAAACTCTGCCCACACTTGCCCCGACTGCCATACACATAAATAGTTAGATGCAGTAGTCGCTTACAAATCGCAAGCGGAGCTCATATTTTTCTAATAACTTTAATTTATAGGATTGTTATTTCCAGATTTTCGTCGCAAAAAATGTATCAATTACTAATTTTTAAATATTACGTACTAGCTTAGTTTTAATTTTAATGAAGACATTCGTGGTAAATGAAAATGCCAAAGATATGATTTGTGTGATTGCCATTTCGAAAAGTTCACATTTTCGAAGAACTACTGTATGTGTGCTGGGCTTCTGGTAGAAGTCAATTTTCCAATATATATAAAACTCACTAAATTGGGACTCAACTTGATTCTAGCTGTACGCATGGGAGCAGGTGACTCGAGTTGTCTCGAATTAATTGAATCGTGGTGTGGTTAAGTCTGGATGCAGAGCTACACGGTTATGCTCTGGCCAACCGTCTGTCCGTCCTTTGGCCCAGCAACTTTTCCTGCCTTGGTGCCTGCCTCTGTTTCTGACTCTGCCTTTTGCCTCTGATAATGTTTTCGCTGCAGGCAAAATGCGTCGAGTGCAATTTAATTCAAATCGTGCGTAGCCAAGGGCACCGGTTACGGTTACGTTGCCGACGACATTCATATCCTCCACAGCACACACCCACACTCACACTCATAGCCACACACACATTCACATTCCACATTCCACATCCACACCCACATCCATATCTTTGCTCATGTCCACAAGCTCGCACCCACACAGGCGACAGGGGTGTGGGCACACATATATTTGAGTAACAGCCAGACCAAGATAAGGTCACAGAGGGGTATCGGGCAGTCGTCCAGGATGAGGTTGTTACTCCCCGAAGGCACTTGGAGCTGCCATTTTACATTCAGTTGTTTATGGACACAAATCCTTAAAGTCATCGCATGCAAACAACGCAACGGCCAGTGACATCCTTCGATCCATGCTCAGCCTCAGCATCAGCATAAGCTACGGCTACTACTACCACTACCACTACTACTACTACGGCTGCATTACTTATGTGCCGCTCGGGAAATGGAATCAAAGAGCATATTGTGAAAAAGGCAAGCCAACAAACAGCGAATCCGACGAAATTTGTCGCTCAAGTCGAGGAAATATGCCGCCGGATATTGACAGGCCGGCAATAAAAACGACAAAAGGCGACAACAGCGACACCAACGGCAGACAAAAGAACACCCAACCGCATTTCTTATTTATATGTGTGCATACACAGATGTACATATCCAATACATATATATATATATATACATATGTGTGTGTGTGTGTGATATGGAATATATGCATAGATGTACGTGTCCTGTTTTTACTCGTAACACGCATATGCGTATTAAACACGACACGACACGATACAACGACTTGACTCTATATACAAAATCTTCTAAATATTATAATTGAAAATCTGTTTCTTTTTTTATTAGCAAAACTTTGAATTCAACAAACTTGCAGTGAATGATAAAAACGATGAAAACGAAGGTCAAAAAAGTGTTTGGATTTGGTATTGTCATAAGGTATTAGTACGCTTGTCAATAATTTAATATCCCACAGGGATGGAAGTAATCGAACAAAACATCTTTAATATGTACCCAAACACACACAACCTGCGACATTTGAAAACTGTGATAAGTTTTCCGAGTTTTCTGTTCATTTCAGTTTACTTTCGAAGCGCCACAAAGTATTTCAGTGCATCTTAGCAACTACATTAGTCAGTTCAGTTGCCGGCTACCAGTTACCAGATACAGTGTGTCAACAATAAACACAACTACTCAGTTAATTGGATTTGCTATGAATTTGGATTCATGTATATGTTTTGCATAGTTTAGTTATTGTCTCTGTCAAAGCTATCCAAATCAATAGCAAACAATTAAATTAAAAAATAAATAATTAATTTTTTAACTTATATTACTCGCACCACTGTGGCACGCATTAAAATTTTGTGCACACCATTTGCCGCAGTCGTATGGATGATTTGGATGAGGCTCATGTTTGTCATGGACCCTGGACGCAGAAACAGAGCACGTGATCTGGCATACGGACAAATGAGGGGATGGACGCATAACTAGGGATGAGCTTGGACATACATACAAATGTGAATACTTCTACGTGTAAGAACGAGATGTGCTTTAACAATTTATGTAAAACAAAATCCTTCTGATTACACACTTAACTAGTTTCCTTTGTACTTATGCTGTGTTAATTCGTTTCTTCTTTGTCGCGCATTCTTAAACGTTTTACTGACCACAGTGGAGAAATAAATTAGCTTTGTAAAAGTAAAAGAGAAGTTTTCAGGTTAAGCCCAATGTGCACTTGAACAGATCTAGTAATCTACGCATACTAATCTATATCCATGAGATATTTATATTTTGTCAGGCATGCACTGCAAGTTTCTGGCTTATTAAATTGGTTGGCTGTGAGAAAGAGTGCAGAACTAATGTGGGAGCTGTATTTGCTTAGTATATGCTTCAGCTATGGCTAGTTGGTCGTCCTCTTTGAAATTGTAGAACTTTAGCAAGTTTATTGTTAAGCACCACGTCCAGTCGGCAGCGGAAGGGTTGCCTCATTTTGTTGCCTATTCTCGAGCCACTTGCTTGTCTTTAGCGAACAAAAAAAGTTGTCACTACGACAATGGAGCACGCGTAACAGCACCAGCAGTAGCAGGAGCAACAGGAGCTGCAATATACTCAGAAAAAAATCTAAAACTTTTATAAATATAAGAAGTAAGAGGCTTGCCCCAATTCGGCAATCCCAAAAAAATGTTTTTTTTTTATTATTCTTTTTTCAGAAATTAATTTGTACAAAACTAGAAAAGACGTTAACAATCGTTTTTTTTTTCTTCAAATTATATTATATGAGTTTATAAACTATGTTGTATTTTTTAAGATATAATTATATATTATATACAAAAAAATTAATTTGTTTACATATGAAAAAATATCCAGAAAATTATACATATTTTCTTTCTAAAATTGGAAAAATATACCCTGAAATTAAGAAAAGAAAAACACTTTCTTAAAAATATAGTTTCTGAATGAGAAAATCTTGGCGCTCAATAACATGACGAATTCTGGAAATTCTCGACGATTTTGTTTTCTGAGTGTAGCAGCAGGACAAGATATCGCCTTGGGCTCCTAGGATGTGCGTCATGTGATGCGAGCCACGTATGATGACGTGCTTCACAGCTTAAACAGCACGCGGCCATACATACGGCTATTGTCTTGATTGTCCTGTTGCGGACTCCAGCACACAGTGCTTAATGATATAATCGAGCGCACGGCGTCAGTTCATTATCGACAACACTTGCGCCTAATTAGCGTCAAGCAATGAATAATTGGCGGTTATCTTGGCTGGTAGTAACGGTAACTGCAGCAGTGCCACACAGTTAGGCAACCACAACCAACAGTGAACCAGGCAACTATTCAACCAGTAAAGCAATCAGCCCGCCACATTGCCAAACGCATCGGCATGATTCCAAATTCAAATCGTGTGCGGTCAGTTTTCAGCTGATGTTGCGGGTCGCTTGCATTGTGGTAGTCACTTTATCAGTGCGGTGGAGTTCAGTGGCCAGTTGCTCTGCATGGTGCTGGTGCTGGTGGGTTCTGCTTGCTTTTTACTCTCAGCAGCAGCAGCAGCAGTAGAGACAAGGACGTACCCAGCTTTTCGAAAGGGAGGCGACGAATTTTGTAAAGGGGCGCCCAATAATAATTTTGTTAGAAATTATAATCTAAACCACTTTTTATCTATGCAAAGTTGAGATCTAGTTGGGACGCCCCTTCCGCCTTACCACCCTCTGCGTACGCCTTGGAGCAAAGATATACCATATGGTAACTAACGTATATTATATAATAATACTTGCTTTTCTACTTCAATAAAATCAGCAGTTCATGCGTTTGTTTGCTGGCTGCTTTTTAGTTCACTAGCCGAGTTAAGCTCTTAAAGTTAAGTCCTCTTATTTTTAATGGAAATATCTATTTTTAAGCTCAATAAGCCATGTGCTAAAAAAAAATCCGACATTGGTTTTATTTAAGGGATTTAACAACACTCAAATGAATTTTATACCATTCCAGAGTTTTACTTGATTAAACAAGATTAAATTTTGTTTTATACTCTCATACCGAAGGTATCCAGAGTATATTGGTCTTGTTCAAAAACCTTAAAGCTAGAGCCTAGATCTTCGAACATATATTAATCTGTACCCGTGTCAAACAAAGTAAAAAATTGACGTCGGAGGATAAGAAATCGATAAAGTCGATAATCGCAAATCTATAAAACCACACATCTTCAACACTTTAAAGGCTACGGTTACCACATTTTTTTAAGTAGTTTGTTGGCGATGTCCTTCACCTGCATATGCCACACCAACCTAGGCCAGCCCAGGTCCCACACCCCTAAAAATCGGAAGTGGCCAGAGTTTTTGGATTAGAACCATACAATTTGGCAGGTATTACTTATGGTATCAGAGTATTTTGCATTCGGTTACGCCCCACTGTAACGTTCTCACTTGATTTTTTCCAATATAAAAAATATATGTATATAATAAAAATATAAATATAAATATGTTAATCTTCAATTGACCATTAAGCAGTCGATTGACTTGTAAAACTTTTCGATGAAACATTGAAGTTTAAATTTATGCAATTAATTAAAATACAAAAGCAAACAAATATATTAATAACGAGTCAATGGTTTGCATCGAAAATAATACAACGAGCCTTAAATTTATTGTCGATTTACATAAAAATTATAATAAATAATAAATTAAGACGCGCATTGAGAATAAGTATACAATAAAATAGCAAGAATTATAACATATCGTGGAAATGTGAGGGTTTTTCAGCTGCCCAAGTGCATTTTTCAAATAGGGCACAGATTTTGATGTTGTAGTCCATAATTAATTCTACAAGCTATTTAGATTGTATATATTCTCAGATGACAGTGCCCGGAATAAGAGCATTTTATACGGTTATCCGATGATGATGATTTCCTTTACATTGCTCGTGTGTTTTGTTCGGAAAATTTGGTAAGTAAATACATTTTTCATCTAAAGATCAATTGATCAATTTCAACAAAAAGTTGAATATTTGCCGTATATATTAAATTGGTTAGTGAATCAAGAATAGCAACCTTTTATGGTGCCATAAGAAGTCTCCTACAATAAGCTGCAGCACAAAATTATAATAATCTCTCTGTTTGAAATCATTCCTAATATGTGTGCTGTTGGCACAGTGACACCACCTTCACCTTCACATCCGCCTCCACCATCTGTCCTGCTGGCCACATGTGCCTGGCACATTGAGTTCGGCATTAGACACGGTTCATTACTTATTGTGATAATCAACGCATACCAAAAGGACGAGACGTATCAAAAGGAATGCAGCAACTGGCTGTCGTATCCTAACTTCAGTTGTGCTCCGGAACATGCTCACATGGCCAATTAGATTATCATAAACAAAAACGAATTAATTTAATATTTAAATAAATAATTGAATAATCATTGAATATTCATTAATAAACATTTTAATTCGGCAATCTCTAAAATTGTACAACACAAAACCAAAAAGTAAATTATTCTTTTTTTTCTTTGATTATCGATATCAAAGTGTATTATTTAGTATTTTTTTTTTTTTTTTTGGAATTTGTTATTGCTTAGAATAATTGCCGCGGTCACACTGATTAGATTAGAAACATTTTGAGCATCGATCAGTGCCACAAATCGTACTCAATGAGTGCCCCGGGGATAAATGATGATATCGAGATTTGTGTGGCGACGACAGAGGATGGCGACAGGCTCATGGACTTTCTCCACGTGCACTATTATCGGGAGGAGCCGCTGACCGCGGGCTGTGAGCCACCGGAGCCGGATGAGGCCGATGAAAAATTTCTGCTCTCCAATTTACCGCATGGTAGCTGTCTGCTGGCACTGCACAAGGGTCGCATCGTGGCTGCCGCTGTCGCCGGTCCCAAGACTGCCGATGAGGCGGCGCATCTCTTCGAAGAGGCCACCCACTTGGCCGGCAGCAAATGGGGTCGCATTCTGGGCATTCTGGCAATCGCCGAGCGCGATGCGAACGTCTTCAAACGCTTCAACATCGATAGAGCACTGCATCTGCATGCTATTGGCGTTGATAACCAGCTGCGTGGTCGTGCTCTGGGCGAGCGTATCATGAACGCCTTGGCCGCTCGGGGCAAAGAGCTGGGCTATCCGCTGCTCACCGTCGACTGCACAAGCGTCTACTCTATTCGCCTGATGAAACGCTTGGGTTACGATCTGGTCAACACCATGCGCTACACGGATTACGTGGATGCGACGGGCAAACAGATCATTTGTCCACCTGCACCACACGAGACCATGGAGACCTATGCGCTGCGCTTGTAGGGTTTGTTAGATCCTTGTTTCATGTATATAGTGCACATATATAGCTAAATGTGATTTGTATTATTTGTCGTATTTTTGTTGTTGCATATTTAATACTTTGTCATACTTATCATTAAGTCAGTTCTTATCATGGGTGCATTCGTCAGTAATTGTTGTCAACGACTCAAACTATTCATATGTATGATGTTTTCTTTCCTAGAATGTATTTCTGCGTTTGTTAAATAAATAACAGTGTTTTTACGATTATGTATTTTGATTGAAGTTGTAAGGTTTGCAACCAGACTTGTAATCGACATCGATCTCGCTGAAAGAAAAGAGTTTTTTTTTTGGTTTGCGCACATATCGAAGGCAATTTAAAAGTTACTCCTTTGTTACTCGTTATTTCAATATTTGCATATAATAAGTATATATTTTACATAATTTTCAACACAGATTTCAGGGCAATTGTAGCGCGTAGTTAATTAGATGACATAAGTATATATGCACACTTCCAGTGCAAATAGATGAGGGCAACAACAGATGTAATCCGAAAAACGAACCACCATAAAGAAAAGGAAGTGGCAAAATGGCAACCGGAAATGACAAACGGGAAATACGCGCAGTATTCGACGACGGATTATGTCACAGTCAAGGTTTATGGGACGACCATTGTTCATTGAAACCTGTTTATAAGTGGAGCAAATGTTTAGGATGGCGACGGATTGCGCACGGCTCAAGGTCAAGTCCTGTCTAAAAAAACAACAACAACAACAACAACAAAAATCAAAAGCTAACTGAATATGTTTAAAAAACATCAACTAAAAATAAAGAAATACTACACAATAAAAGCATTAAGCATTGAGTATAGTGCTGAGTGTGCGAGAGACAGAGAGAGAGAGAGAGAGAGAGAGAGAGAGCGAGTGTGTCCTTGAACATTTGATACCAAATGCATAGGCATCGCTGGAGCAAGCGGAAGGGCAGGAGCAACAGCAGCAGCAAAGCTTAACACACACTTCAAGTGTGATGCGAGCCACAGTCACGTCCATTTTATAAACTTCATGGCAGGCACGTCAGGCCGTTTGTCCATATTTCGCTGTATGTCTCCTACTCGCTTCCACTCGCTGAGTGGTGCCAGCAGCTGTCTTGCTTGCGCTCGTCAACACGGTGGCAATGGCTGGCGAATTCGCTGCGAAAGTTGTGAATTCGCCGCATTTACCATTTGGCCGTCTCTAACAATGCTGCTACTGCTGCTGCTGCTGCTTCAGCCTGTCATTGCTGGTATTCATAAACAGCGCCCAACACTGTCGAAACGCCAGAACAATTCGTGCCGCGTGCGCGTTCGGTTCGTTCGCTTGAACAGTGGCTCCTGACGTTTCTGTTGCTGTTGCTGCTGTTGCTATTCAGTGTCGCTATTTTGTTCGTTTAAACGTGCCGTTTTTTGTGGCGCCAGTTTTGTTGCTGTTTTTACTATCTGATTGTGTGTGTGTGTGTGTGGCAGAGTGTGCATGTGAGTGTGTATGTGTGTGTGTGTGTGTCTAGTGAAAGTAAACAACAAGGCGCCGGCACAAGAACCCCAGTCCAATGTGAAACTTACCAACGTTGCCAAAAAAAATACAAAAAATAAATAGAATAAAACACTTAGCAGCAGCGGCAACGGCAGCAAAACTCGAGATCGAAATTGATTCACTCTTTTTGAAAGACACACAATTTGCGTTGCGCGGCCGTTTATCAAAATTGTTTTTGTTTCTGTTTGTTTTTTGCAGTGTATATCGTGGGCAAGTCACAACATAAAGCGCCAGCCACAATATCTTAAACTCTGAAAGACATCCCCAACAAAAAACCACAAGCATAAAGTAAAAAAAAAAAAAAATAAGAAAGAAAAGGAAAACGACATAAAGCAAACAACTAAAAATGCCGCGCGAGTTGCAACAAAGACGCAGCCGGCTTTTGATGCTACCGCTGCTGGGTCTATGCCTCGCCAGCTTTGCTCTGCGCTGCGATGCGCGTGCGGTAAGTTTTTGAGACATCATAAAATTACTCAGTGGCCGTCGCTATGCTCCTTAGCCTAGCTCACCCCCTCTTACATGCCACACATTCCACACGGCGCCATGCGGCCGACTCCACTTGGCTGTTGGCCACAATTTGCGCTGAATTCGCTTAGCGAAATCAAAGAACGTAGCCAAAAAAAATGCGATTACTTTGTTTTGAGCGACGACAGGCAATGCAGCGCCATTGCCAGCCAAAGCGTTTAAGGATGTCGCACAAAGCAGAATTGATAAATCAAGTGCTCTCCCGAGAAACACGTTTAAGCAAGAGCATTTAAAGTTGAAATAGTTGCATGAAACTTTTACCGTTTCTCTTCTTTTCCATATTAAGCAAATCTATTTTTATTTCATACATTTTTATTATATCATTTTGTACACCTTGAGTAAGTATGTTAAAAGCAAAAAAAAAAAAAAAAAAATGAAAGCTTGAAAGAGAAATCTAAATTTGTGTGTGTGAGTAATTGAATTCCGTCAAATTGAATCAGTTTATTTGCATACAAAATTATGTTTTAAATATATTTTAAGAGTACACGTTCAGAATGGTTTCAACACTCATTACAAATATGACTTTTAAAATGAAAATATGAATCAGAGTATGGGTTTTATATATGTATAGGTTAGACTTTATTTGCTCTTGAGAGAACTCATCAGTTATCAGAGTAATGCTGATTAGTGACCATGGATCATAAGTGTAAAAAATAGGATAATTTATAACTTTATACTTTATAAATATAGCTGTAATAACTTTAGAGTGGTAAACATTTGCGTTCCTTCCTGAACTGCTCAGAAAGTCATTTGAAAGATCAACTTATTCCCACAAATTGTTGCAATAAACAGATGCCTTGTTTTCAGGTACAGCTTTTTTCATACAAACTCTATGGCAATCCTACAGCAGTTTATCAGTCGATCTATCTCAGTAAATGGGCAGATTTAAGCGATACTTACAAAGCAGTCATCTGCTTTGCGCCACAGGCTTCAATGGGCGACGCGGGGCAGCGCGGGGCAACGCGGGGAGACGCAACTCTCTGCTTCTGGCAGAACTTTGAAATTCGAATTGCCCAATTTATATGCGCAAAGTTGAGCCTGCCACAGTGTGTGGCTGTGTTTGTGTTTGTATATTTTTGTGAGTAAATCAAAAACGTGAACTTTCGGCTAGTCAAGTCAAACGTTATTTTTTTGTTTTTTTTGTTTGCTGTTTTCAGTCGGAGTTTGGGGCTTGGGGGTGTGGGGGGGGGGAGACAAGCGACGTCATCGCCGCCATCGTCTGTCGTCTGTCGTCTGTCCTGAAACCCAATGCCCCGCTCCTCGCAGCCCAACTGGCGACTTCTTTTGGTTGCGAGTCCTATCCCTTTGACCGGTCTGCCATCCACCAGTCTCACTAACCAATTCCCTGCCAGCCCACTAGCCACCCAGCTCTCCCTAGTTTGCCAGTGCCATTTTTCTTTGGTTTGTTTTGCTGTTGTCGTTTGTTGTTGTTCTTGTTGTTGTTGTTCTTGTTGTTGTCCACCCGCCCGTAAGCGCGCTACGAAATGAATAATTTCAGGGAATTTACTAGAAAATTTTATTCATATAAATCACAAATTAAATAAGTTTTTACGATGTTGTTCAGCGGTTGTGCAAGCCACTACAAAACTTACTTGTGTTCCCATTCTCGTGTTGCTTCTACCCTGTACACAATAAATGCCCTTAAATGGGTATACATTTTCTTCTTGCTTTTCACTTTATGTGAGAGTGAAAGTCTTATTGACTGCAAGTCTGTCGAAACAATGATAATAGATTTGATTCTTTGTATATTTACGTTCGATTTTAGACAGAAATAGTAGCTTATAATAATAATAATAATAATAATATAAAATCTACTTTCTGTATGGCTGATCAGAGGGTAGCTGGAAATACTTTTTTTTTTGTAAATTGTGTAGGCTGTTTAGAGGGTATCTGGTTGTTGAGCACACGTGCATAGTTTACAGTTCAGCTTGCTTTCAGCATTTCGTGGGTTGCCTTGCGGTGCCGTTTTGTATGTTCTTCCCTCAACGTCCCACACAATCCTCGTTCCCTCGCTTTTGCCTGCCACACAGTGGTCGCCTAGCCTTTTGCCATTGCCATTTGCCCTTTTTTTTATGGTCGTGTAATTTTTTGTTGGGCTTTTTATTTATGCTTATTATCGTGATTGCTTTTACCCGTAGCCGTAGCCAGAGCCAGATCCACAGCCAGAGTCGGAGCCACAGTCATTGGCATAGCCATAGTCACCGCAGGAGCTGCCTTTTAAAGAGAGCCTTTTACGCACTTAGACCGTCTGGTGGTGCGACTGTCGCTTAGCTGGTTTTGCTGGTCATTTTGGTTTTCGGTTGGGTGCTTTTAGCTTGACACAAAAGCCTGACAAAGACTGGCCTGGCCTGGCCTGGCCTGGTCTTGTCGAGCGTAATGCATGCTGCTCTCGGTTGCAGCTAATTTAATAATGCAACAACGCACAGCATTTGATGCTGCCTCAGACGCTGTTGCCCCCCTGTCCTTTCCTCTGTCATGGCATCTACCCTCGGTGGCATTTACGATTTACGATGTGGGTGCCGCAACAACGTGCAAAGAAGGCCAACACAAAGCACATACACCGAGAAAGAGAAAGACCAAAAAGAACAAAAAGTACGAAAAAAAAAATTGAATTTTTTTGTTGTTTTTTTTGTAAAAGTTTTGCACATTGTCCCTGACCTTGAGCCAGCTGCAACTATATATTTCGCACATCAAATCATAATTTATGGCAGCATAGAGCAATCAAATTGTTACCCAACTCCCACCACCTCCAATCCTCCCATCACAGCGTCTCTGCCCTTGCGACGGCATTTACCTTCCGGCGGAGCGCAGTCGCCCACATAATTATCGCTTTGATTTATGGCAGCATTTTCGCAGCCAATTACTTGGCACCCAGCTCCAAAAAAGAGAAAAAGAGAGAATGGGAGGGAGAGAGAGAGAGTGAGCGAGAAAGAGTGATAGGGCCAGAGCGCAAAGAACAAAAAGGAAGAGAAACGGAAACGGAAATCCCATGGCATGTGCTGCATGTGGCAGGCAATGCGCCACACATGCCTCTACACACACCATACAGAAACACACACACACACACACACACCCCACACACACATACATTGAGAGAACAATTCTTGATTGAGGCCATAATGTTGTTGCGTGCCATGCAAATTACCCTCATGGTTACAGTTACCTTCATATTCACAATAGTTGACCTGCAACGTACAGTGCCTGCCACACTTATCCACTTGCAAACGAGCCAACTTTTACTATACTTTCACTCGCTTATTGGTTAGCTTACACTTTAATTTCGATGCGAAAGCCAGATGAATCAAGTATTTATTCAAATTATGCCATATTTTTCAATATGATTACAATTACATGAATATATCTGCTTAATTGGTTCTTTGCTTCTTCACAACGGGACTTGAAATATATTGAAGAAGGTAAACTCAACTAAAACGATGAGATTCTCACAGGGTCAATCGTAGCCAAGTAATTAGCAAGATATTTAGAAGATTAATCTATCAGAACTTAACATTAAATATGTGTAGCATACTTTTTTGGGCGTAACAATCGCAGTTACCAAGTACCCAAGACAGTATGCTCTAAAAATGTGCGACTATAAAATATAAAAGTAATCGAAATGTATTTTATCAACTTGAGCTCTGTTCACAGATGTATTTATATAATTGACGTATCTGTGGTGTGAGATTGTGAATGCGTGTGATTTATTTTGATGGAAGCATGGCTAAAGTACAATCGAGTTGAAGATGTGAAGGATGCAGGACGCAATTGCATTTGCCACTTGCGAGCACCATTTGCTGGGTGTAACATCTACTTTGTCTCTGTCCTCACTGCTGGTAATCAACTCAATTGTGCCTCGTCCTTGTCAGCTTTGACCCGATTCGCGACTGCACTCGCAGTTGTATGGTTCCCTCCCCTTACTAACTTTCTCTGCCAACTTGCAAGTTGCAACAAAGCTAACACACTCATACACTGGCACACAGCCTCATGTTGAACCTTTTCTCTCTACACTTCGCTTTGGCTGGCATGCCATTCCGTGGCGCCTTTTAGGACGCATCCTTTGTTCAACGCGCTGCACGCCTCGTTATGCACAAACAAAGCGTTTCACTTCAATTTAGCAGCAAATTATATGAGGCAGCTTGCAGCACTTGCAGCAAAAGCACAAACAGCGGCAGCATCAAGTACTTCACTTCAACCCTAAATGATTGATTGTTCTGGCGTTTTCAATAGTTTTAATCACACTTATAGTTTTTGTTTGCTTGGCAACTCTACTTTCATTTAACACTTCCCTCATTGTCTATAAAATCTACCTTAAATACATTTTATATTATGTTATACACAAATACTCAAGATAAAAAAATAATATAATAATAAAATGTAAGCTTATTAGCTTGTTTTCTTCAACCTCATTAAAATTGTAGAGGCTATTATCCTTGTTGAAAAAACTAGATTAAATAGTTCAGGTACAAGTCCTTAAGTTCATTCAATTCAATAACATAAAACAATAATGTCAACTTTATTGTCGAGTAAAACGAATATTAGCCGAGATTAAATAAAGTTAATCTAAAAATAAATATTTTTTCAAAATTGAAATTGATTTGAAATTTGGAGCAGGCGACGAGGGACTTAGGGGAGTGAGCCGACGTGTTTGTAAGAACTATTTAATATAGTTGTTTTCTGTGAGGATAATGTTGTATTATAGTTTCACTGAATGTGAATTCAATTCCACTCACTTTTTCACAGTGCAAAACATAACGAATGTTGTTTGTGAAGATTGCCGTTGCGTATCGCCAATTAGAAGAGGCAGTTGCAAAGAGGGAATATGTTGAGAATGGCAACTGCTGCTGCTGCTGCTGCTGATGCTGATGCTGATGATGTTGATGAGGTTGGCGCTGTTGCTGGAGCATTGAAGTCAAAGGCAAA